GGCAGCTTTTAATTTCAAGTGCGTTGGATTGTTCAATGCCAGTTGTAGTGGGCGCAAATGCAGCTTTCCCCGCGAAGCCCCACTGCCAATTCCATGGCCCTCATTGCAAAGGGGGCTTCTACACAAAGCAGAAACATGTGCATCCCGAGAAGTTGCGCATGGCGCGGGCCAGGGCTACCTCGCATGCCCTCAGCGCCATGCGCGTCCATGCTGCGTTGCCCGCCCTTCCCTCTCAGGCCCCCCTCCGCTTCCCTTAATTCACCAGGCCTCGGGGGGTGTGGCCCCCGTCCGTTGGAATTTCATCCGGTAAATTCGCCTCGCGAGTGCTGCATGCAAGGGTACTTGGAAGAGGGCCCAATCGGTTTGAGTCGAAGTTTGAAGCAAACGAGCTCGATATCCGCAAGGAGTGGTCTGGAAACGAGCAGTCGAGGTCATGCTTGTGCCCCACAGTAATGAATATACCTCGGCATCCGTTTTCCGCTATGTAGCTTTTTGGTTCACCCAGAACCCGCCCGCCCCGCGTGGCAACCTCGGATCGAAGCGAATTCCCGGTCTCCGCAAGCAGCGGTCTGGAAGAAGGGCCGTCGACGTCATTAGGATAATGGATCTGATTCTGGCGATGACGATCATGATGATGTTTTTGCTGGTGCTGGTGATGGCGATGCGGGCGATGTTGTTTATGAAGGTGCAGGAACATCATATCAGGGTGGTGATGATGATGACGATGGCGGTGATGATGCGGACGATGATGGCGAGGAAGGCGATGGCGAGTGTGATCGCGATGTTGGTGGGGATGGTGATGCTAATAGCTTGCGCGGCTCAGAACGTCAGCTGCTGCGGCGTCAAAGGAGCTCGGCTTCGGAAGGCGGCGCGGCGACTGGCGCCAGCACGGTCACGAGGACCGCGACGGCGAACAACATGATTGGCATGGCGAGGCAGGGGCGACTGACTTCGCGCCTCGTTTAGGCCCCGGCCCCCCGAGGGTCATCGCATCCGTGGGGGGCCTGCCGCTGAGCAGCCTGTCGGCGCGCACCCGCCTGTTGCTGCCCGCGACGTTTTCCCGAGGGTCCCAGACCATAAGCAGCGAGGGGCGCGCGGTCGACAAATATAGTCCGCACCTCCAGCAGATCATCATGCCGCCGGAATCGCCGCGCCCATTGTCGGCGGTGGCGCGGTGGTCGGTGCGCCCCCAGCCACGCGTGCCGCCTCGCTGCCGCTTCCGCGGGTGCTCCGGGCTCCGGGCCTGGCGCCTTTGGGGCCACTGGTTGTGTTTCCATCCCCTCCGCCCGCACGGGGCGCTCTCCGCTGGTGGCGGGAGGGGGCGCGCTGCTGCTTCTCCCGCCGTGTGTCGAGCGGCTCGGCGGCGGCGGGGAGCAGGGCTGCAGCGGCCACAAGAGCCAGCGCCCTGGCGGCTGTGCCCAGGCTGTCCTCGCAGTCGTTTGGGCTCGGCATCGACGGCGAGGTCAGGGCCAGTGCGCCTCCAGCAGGCGCCAACCGTCCCTGTCAAGACCAGCCGTTGTCGCTTGGCTTCCGCGTCGCAGCTCCCGCTGACAGACGGGTCAGGCCTATCCGCGCCAGCATGGCCGTCACATGTCCATGTCTGGTGGCGGTGGAGGCGATGATGATCATCATGGCCATGATCATCACCAGAGGCCGCCGCGCGCTCAGGCCATTGATGGAGCAGCGGCCTCCAGTCACCGCCCCCTTGCCATGCCCAAAAGGCAGGGGGCCGCTTGACGACGCCCCGCGCACCGCCAGGCCGCCATGGCCGTGCTCCGGAGCACGGGCGCCGCTTACCTGCTGGGCACAGGACTCGCTACGCTGATCCTGAACTACTGGACGCTGAGCTTCAACTTCAACATCATCACGAACACAGAGGGCCAGCACAGGCGCGCCACGCGGCCCATGAATTGCCACAAGTGGAACAATTGCACGCCGAACGTGACTGGCCACATGGACTACCCCACCCAGAATGCGAAGGACTACTGGACACTGAAAACCAATTCCAACATCATCACGAACATAGAGGGCCAGCACATGCAGGATTACAACACGCTGACCCTGAACGACTGGACGCTGAACTTCAAATTCAACATCCTCACGAACACAGAGGGCCAGTACGTGCAGGACTGGACGCTGAGCTTCAATTTCAACATCTTCACGGACACAGAGGGCCAGCACAGGCAGGACTACGACACGCTGACCCCGAACTACTGGACGCTGAGCTTCAATTTCGACAGCCTCACGAACACAGAGGGCCAACACATGCAGAACTACACCACGCGGCCCCTGAATTGCCACCAGTGGAAAAATTGCACGCTGAACGTGACTTGCCACACGCTGCTTCAGACGACGCACAAGACCAGGCTGAATGGCAGCAACAATACGGACACCTACACGACGAGGAAAGAGCTCCCAGGGATCATAGCCATCACGCAGGAGATCGAAGGCTACAAGTACACCCTGGACTCCCCACTCAGGAAGAGCGACACCCCAGAGGACAAGACACGCCTGCAGGAGATAGGGTCGCCAGCGCTGCCCTTCGCGCTGGCGATCTTGGAAGAACTGCGCAAGTGTGACGTGGGCGGCTCCATGGGGGGTGCCATTCGGAACCACCTGCACCGAGCGGAGACCGAGGACATCGAGGCAGAACACAGAGGGCCAGCACATGCAGGATCACACCGCGCGGCTCCTGAATTACTACCAGTGGAACAATTGCACGCCGAACGTGACTTGCCACCTGGGCCACTACCTCCACACCCAGCTCGCGAAGGACTACTGGATGTCCCAGGGCATCTTGACCACATCTCCGACACATGCCGTGCAAATCAGATTATGATGTACGCAGGCATTAAGATCCACCAGTGCACTACCGACGCCCCGCATCATTTCGAGGACCGCCGCTATCATACATGGGCCCATTTCGGATGGGGTCGCGGGGCACACACGAGCAGCTCAGTAAGTCGCAGCATCGCAGTATCCAAGCGCCAAAGCCGCAATATAGACATCGACAAGGCACGGCACCCCCCTCAATCTGACCTGCGGGGCGCGGGCGCCGTCGAGCTTCATCGAGGCCAGCTCCGCACTCGATTCACTGCTGCGTATTCCCCACCGCGGCCGAACGGAGCAGGTCATTACCAACGCTGGAAAGCAGGATGCCGCCGACCATGGAGCTGGGTACCGCAGGCACATACCGACATCCCTATTGGCGTCATGCCCATCCTGTTCACGGACCTCAACCAAGGGCCAGGGCGACGATCACGACAGCGCCGCACCGACAACGCAATCGGCAGCTACCAACCCAGCGACGAGACCGAGCTCGGACGCTTGATTCACGACAAGTTCCTGACGCACCAGCTGACAGCCAACAACATGCACATCGACGTCGGCAATACCTACTACGGGCACAACGCCAGATCAAGCATCAACTACTACATTGGCCACGAGAACTTCATGGAAATCGTGAAACACGTGAAGCTGAATTGGAAGATCCACACCAAGCCAAGTCGCCTACTACATGTTGCCGACCACATCCCCATGATTATGCAGACCAGGATGCCTGTCAGCGGCGCCAACATCACGAACAACAACACTCGCTGGGACTATGGCCTACTTGCTGCTGGGCTCCAGACGGGCGCCCACCGCGCGTCTTTTCTCAACGACGCCTACGCCGAGATTAGCAAACACAAGGAGGCCCTCCGAGTTGTCAAGATGGATAAGTGGGCTCCCCCCGAGGCCAGCGTGAGCACCTCCCCCCTCCTCTCGGCGGCAACGCGCGACGGGGCGGACACCGGCGACGAGACAAACCCCACCTTAGAGTGCAACATCGGGTCGTGCCAGAAACGGATCACCACGCGCTCGGCCACCCTAAGTGCCCCCCCGCCGCGCCCTGCGCCACCCAGACGCCGCCCCTCGCCCGCCATCGAGGACGCCCCTGATGCAAGCGCGTCCAACCGCCAGTCGGTGGATCACATCGCGGGCAGCGACTTACGCAGCGGACCTAGACATCGACCACTTCGACGGCTACAAGCAGCGCAGCGCCCAGCAGCAGTATATGTAGCGCCCACGCGGGCGATCCGAGCGGCTAATGTTTCCTACGCGCCTACTCTCCCTGGACAGGGGGGCGACGTCCAAGCGGAGAGCGCCGTGGCGACTCCCACTGGGCCCCTCCCAGGGCTCGAAGGGCTCGGGCACCGCTACGACGACGCCAAGCAGAAGCTGGTGATCAGCGCGCCCACGTGGGAGGGCCAGGCGGTCCACCACCGAGGCGTGGCCCCAGTGGGCTGGCCCGCGGAGGAGGTGGGCCACTGGCTAGAGACGCTCGAGCAGTGAACCCGTCTTTTTGCCAGAGCGAGCCTGTCTTTCTGCCAGAGCGAGCCTGCGCGCCACAGCGCAGGCCACAGCGCAGAGGAGGCGAGTCCACGCCGTGTCAATTTTTGTTCGAGGCTAGAGCCTACCTGCCAGCAGCAGCACGGTCACGGTCACATCCCGCCCTCCTCCGTCGTGCCTCCCCCCTCCCCCCCTGCCGTGCCAGCACATGCAGAGGAGCTGCGTGAGGTGGAGGCCCCACCCCACCTGAGTTCAACTGCCGAAGACGAAGCGGCCAATATTATTCAGCTAGCATTTCGACGCTGCTAGGCACGCGCTGCGCAGGAGGCCCCTCCGAGCAGCACCCTGGCAGTCTGGCCCAAGCGGGGCAACACGAGACAGTCGTCTCTCTGCGACGGATCTCGCAAGTCTGTTTTCAATGTATACCAGATATTGATATCAGATATTGGTCCTGACGTCGATGGAAAAATGATCATCACCATGATGGTGACGAACATGGTGAACGTGGGTGGTAATTGTGATTGTGACTGTGGTATGCTGGCGGTGATGGTGGTGATCATGACGATGATGGTGATGGTGATGGAGATGGTGATAGGCGGATGGGCAGGGTGGCGAGGACGCCCGATGTTGTGCCGCCGAGCTCCCCCCCCTGAGCCGCTTCTCGTGAACAGAACCTCGAGACCAGCAGTGCGATCACGTACTTGATCGAGCACATGGCGGTTATCCAGGGGCGAGCCCTCACGACAGGAGGGCTAGGGCCGACCAAGCGGGCTGGGCGCTCGCTCATCCCGCGCCGCGCGCAGAATGTCCCTCGCCTCCTGCTCCTCCTCCCCCGCCCCTTCCCTCCACATCCCTTCCCTCCACCCTCTCTTCCAACCCCTTCCCCGCTCTCCTCCGTTCGCCCCCTACCCCTTCGCCCAAACCCCATGATACCTCCCTTTCCTCGCTCCGCATACAACCGGCTGGTCTAAGGAGAAGTGTCGCGCGGCGTCTTGGGGCCTCCTTGAGGACTTCGTGGGCTGTTTGGGACATTTTTGTGAGCCTTTTTGGGTCTTGGCAGGCCGCCCTGTGGGGACATGCGGGCGCCCTCTTGGGAGGCGGCTCCAGAGGCCCCCCATGTGTGTTGGGGGGGCCCTTGTGAAGAGCGGGAAAAGCAATGTAGATCCTCACGAGTTGTTGTAGGTTCGCAGAGGATGCACTGCGCGAGCGTTCGTATCACGAGGCTGTCCTCGCGGACTGGGACGCCGTACTCGTGTACATGGTTTGGCGCGTCTGTCCTGTGTGGGTCGTTTTGGAAAGTTATGACCGTCATGGAGGCGTATGGTGAAGTGCGGAGGCCATCACGAGCAGGAGCGCAGAATGAGCATGTAGTCAAGCAAGCTGGGTTGCCTGAGGCTTTTTGGAGCCTCTCTTGGTGCTCCTCGCGCGCCTGGTGGAGCCCCTCGTGCACTGTCAGGGCCTTTGTTCGGTGTCTGGGCCGCTTGTGTCGCCTTCGAAGTATTTTGTTGGGATGTCGTGGCCACGTCCTGAAACTCTCTTGGACATCCTTGGGGGCCCAGCTGTTCACCCACACTTCTGCCCGCCCCCCCGTCACGTCGATTCGGCGGTCGAGCGCACGCCAGACGCATTGGATGCACGGTTGGAGCTTGCCACCCGTGTCGTAAGCAATTGTTTTGTATTTGCTTTGTCAATTTGCACGTGTTGCCCATCTTCTTGGCCTTTTTCGTCCCTCGTTTTTGTCCGCCGCCTCGTCCTGATCCTCATCTTCATCCTCCGCCTTGCTGTGCATGGTGGATTTCCCGTACCAGCAGTTGGGACGTTGGCAGTTGTTTTATCATTTAGCGTGTTCTCGAGAAATGTGTTCCGTCTTTGCCCCTTCTTCTCTTCCTCCCCATGTCTTGTGCATATAATTCCATGTCTGACCGCCAGACTTGTCCGTATGGTGGACTCGGCGTTTCGCCTGATAGTTGAGACGTTGGCACGATTGATGATCTGCATGCTTCAGTTCCCAACATGTGCACGCACGTAATGCGTATAACCATTTGCCCTGGATAACAAATCATACCCTCTGCCCTGATAGCTGATTGTTTCCGACCAAGACAGAGTTGGTGGGGGGAGAGGGGTGGCAAGGCCGAACTCTACTACAGCGGGGGAATGTTAACAATCGACGTTGATATCTTCTTGTGTCACGTAGCAGCATCATCTTCCCACGTGTGGCAGGGCAATAATGTTTTCTTTTAGCATGGCGACGACTACTACTACTACTACTACTACTACTACTACTACTCCTACTACTACTACTACTACTGCGACTACGACTACGACTATTACTACAACTAATCGTATTGATATTACACCTGAGACAACCCCAATCAGTTGATTATTTGAACATTGAGATCATGGATCTTGAGATCGATAGCGAGATCGATAATGAGATCGATAGTGACATCGACAGTGAGGACGATTGTAAGGTCGATCGTGAGACCGAGAGCTAAATCGATTCAATGAGATCGATAGTGCGATCGATTGCGAGATCGCTCATGCAATCTCTAGTGAGATCGCTTGTGATATCGATAGTGAGATTGATTAGTGGATCGATGGAGAGATCGATAGAGAAGTGGGTAATGAGATCGATGGTGAGACCGATCGATAAGAAGATGGACCAGGAACTCGGGAACCTGGGAACTTCTCCGCCCTTCGAAATCGGCCCGGAACCAGGAACACGGGAACCCGGAACCAGGAATCCGGGAACCCAGCGTGCGACAAAAATCGGCGGGGCATTTTCGCCAAATCATTCAGTTTCCGCGAGGACCCCTTCAGTGCAAGCGCTGATTGGGGAGTTATTATTACAACGACTACAACGACGACGACTACGGCTACTATTACTACTACTACTACTACTACTACTACTACTAGTACTACTACTACTACTACTACCACTACCACTACAACTGCCACAACCACTACCACTACCACCACTACTTCTACCACTACCACTATTGCTATGACTACGGTTAGTACTACTACTAATACTACTGCTGCTACTACTACTTCTACTACTACTACTACGACGGCTACTACTACTATTGCTATACTACTACTATACTATACTATACTATTACCATTACTACTACTACTACTACTACTACTACTACTACTACTACTACCACTACTCCTACGACTACTACGACTACTACTACTACGACTACTACTACTACTACTACTACTACTACTATTACTACTACTACTACTACTAGTACTAGTACTACTACTACTACTACTACTACTACTACTACTACTTCGACTACTTCGACTACTACTACTATTACTATTACTACTACTACTACTACTACTACTACAATTCGTAATCGTATGATTATTTGCTACGACGACGACTACGACTACGACTCCTACTACTACTACTGTCTACTACCACGACCATGACTACCAGTACTACCACGACTACTACTACTACTACTTTACTACTCGCGCGTCTACTACTAACTATACTGCTACTACTGTTAGCTTGACTGTATTGCTACGACTACTACCTTTACCATTACTACTACTACTGCTACTACGGCCACCCCTTACTACGACCAGTACTACCAGTACTACTACTACTACTACTGCAATTACTATTACGAACAATAATAATACTACGACGATTCCCACAACTATTATTTTTATTTCTACTACGACCACAGGTGCTGCCTACTATCAGTTCTCCTACGACTGCTCATTCCACTACTACTACGACTACTATTACTAATACTTCAATGTTGATTAGTATTGCTACTTTCCGCGGTCATTGTTCACACTACTAGTACTACCATCCCTATTGCTACTGTTGTTACTTCTACAACTACAACTACAAGAACAACATCAACAACTACCACTACTACTACTACGATTACGATTACTACCACTACTCTATACTACTCCTGTTCTTCTCTTTCCGCGTCGCCCCCCCGATTTTTTCCGAGTGCTGTTTATTGCCCGAAAACGGGCCACAATGAGTTCCTAAACATGAGATGTGGACAGTTGCGAAGACATCTTACAGGTTCTACATGTAAAAGCAAACGGAACGGCCCGAACCACATGTCCTTTTTAGAAAACTGGTCCTGGGGCTATCTCCTCGCCCACCCTCCTCCTCCTCTCCCCTTTTCTCTCCTTTCCCATCCCCTCCTTGTGACACCCTCCGAAGTCACGAACGTGTGCTAGGGCTAGGTCGTCGTCGTCGTCGTGATCGTCGTCGTCTGTGTGCGACAAAGACGGCGACGATTTCTTCCTTCCTCGTCATACATTCCACCTACGCCTTGTCGGGGCAAATCGTTTATTATCCCCCCTGGACCCCGAAGTTTATTATCGCCCGGGTGTGATTATCAGGAGTAGTTGGTTAGAATTTCAAGTGGAGCTCTCGTCTTACTGCATCGCGCAGTCGCGTTAAACCATGTAGCATCCACACATCGTATGGGTGGCGGTGCTCAACGGGTTACGCTCGTCTTGGCGCCGCGCGCACTCGTCTTACGCAACAGTTAGGGTGCTGGAGGGCGGGCCGTTCAAAACGGAACTCTCGCTTGAGCGCCGCGCACATGTATTCTAGCAGCTACCAGCAGTAGATCGATGGCTGGTCGTTCAACATAAGGTCTCGCTTTAGTGTCGCGCGCGCGTGCGTCTTAACAGTTTGCATCAGCTACTGTGCTGGACTTGGCTGCAAGATAGGGCGTTCGGCCGAGACGTTTTTGAATTCAGAAGATGTTGAAGAGGGGCACGTGATTGCATGTAATGGCTGCACATATGGATGGTGACTCATTTTCAAACTGGGGGGCTCTCGCATGATCAATCCTCGAAGTGCATGGCCAGACGTGCAAACCCGTGCAGCGGTTACACCGTTTCGCATGCAGCACAGCTCCTCCACCACACTTGTGTTCTCTCTTAGGCGGCATGTCCAACGGTCCTGGCCTTGCCGTGGCAAAGAGGCGTTCTGGGATTCATGCGGAGGGACTAGCTGGACGGGAGGGTGTAGCATCGCTGATGCATTATTGGTCTAGTTTGGTCCTCCTCTCCCCCAAGCCCGTATTTTCGTGCTCCTTATTCCCTTGGCACCGTGCTCATCCCCACCGTCGACAACTTATCATCAAGTCTCCATCCTCATCCCTGTTTCCTGCCTGCATTTTTTCTCCTTCAGCTCCTGCCATCTCTTGCGGCCTCCTGTTCCTACTCTTTTCTCCCTCGTTCATCCTCCGCGTCCTCCTCCTACCCTTCTTCCCTCCTCCCACCGCCTCCTGGCGACCATGATGAGCCAGAATATGCTTTTCGCGACGGCGGCCTCTCGACTCGATGACTCCGAATCGTGAGTGTGCACCTGAAACGAGGGGTGCATCTCCTTCGTGCTTGAGACCCTGCCGCATCGGCAGCACCTTCCATGGCTGCGTGGTGCGCGTGACGGACGTTCTCTGCGAGTTGTGGCGCAGGACGTATGCAACGAAGCTGGGGGTCGCGAAGCAGAGGAGCGTGTCAACATCCTGGGCTTCGTTTGATGGCTAGCAAAGCACAGCGAGGCCCTCTGACAAAGCACCATCGCCCCGCACTGGTCCGAACTGAAGCGGATCCAGGACAAGCTGCGGAGCGTGCTGGGAGATCGCGTTCTTCCCAGTCTCAAGGACGAGTACTACGGCGACCAGGAGGCGTCCCCTCCTGCT